AACCATTCCAAGGCGACCGTCGGTCGTCCAAAAATGCTAATTTATATACGTATATAAAATATATATATAGTATATAGAGTATTAAGAGTATTAGGTACTATATATACCTATATATATTTTTTCAAGGGAATCCAATTTGAATTTGTTCCTTGTGCCAATTTATTTTTCAGACTAATGCCTCATAAGTCAATGAGTTTTTGGCATTTTTATGGCTTATGAACAGACACCAAAGATGCTATTTTTCCGGGCTAAAAGATGAGGCCTGGTGTGGGGGGGAGGGGTTTTCCACAGCTGTTCAAGCTGAAAAGTTTTGCCCAGACAGAGTAATTTCCATATTGGCCAAGACAACAACAACAAGAATATAAAATCATTGAAAGGCTAAGAATCAGAATCAGAATTTAAAAAACAAAAGATGTATCTCTAATGTTGGAGAAATTGTTGAAAAGTATTGGTGAAGAAAATATTTCAAATTTGTAGAACAAAATCTTTTAAGAAATACACACAACAATATCTTATATTTTATAATAATTATAAAATAAAATAAAATATAATACTGATATACATATATTTAATGTAAAGTGTTGGAGAAACTGTTGACGTTGTTGTTGAAAATATTGAAATTATTCCAGAAATTTAAGAAATTTTTGCAAACATTAAAGCAATAAATTTTTAAAAATATAGTTCAATAAATAGTTAAAAACATAACTGAAAGAATTTTTGTTTAAATCAAGGACGTGTCTTAAAAATTTATAAAATTTTAATTGTTAACTGCAGCTTTGGTATGACTTTTGTTTTCCCTTTATTGAGAATGAGTTCCAACTTCTCATTTTTCATTTGCCATTTTTAGTGAGACAAAGAATCGCCGCAACTTCAAAGATTCCTGCGAAGCCGGCCTAAACAAGAGAATCTCTGGTTGCTGGCCGCACCCCCTCCGAAATTTTGGCATTGGGAAAAAGCCAGTGCAAAATTAGCCAAAAGTAATCCTTTAAGTTTAGTGCCCAAAAATTGCACACAATTGTCAGAGTGTCTTCAGTGTCCTTCCTACTGTCTACAGCCTCCTGCCGCCTTCGTTTCGTACTCTTTCGAAACGTCTCCGGCCCCAACATTGTCAGCCACCGTTGATGACATTGTGTAAAATTTTGTTGCTGCTGTCGTCGTTGTCGCTGCACTAAAAAAAAATATTTTTAAATAGAAAAATATTACAGAAATTTTATAAAAATATAAATTCAATATAATAATATATATTTCTGTATAAATTAAGCAAGAGATGCTGAAAAATCAGCTGTAAATACCAAGGACCTTGCAAAGATTACATTAGAAATAAATTTCAATTTAATTTTTTGTTAAATCTAAAATACAATTATTTAATAAAACTTTACAATTTGTTTAGACTTTTATATATTTCTATAATATTTCTTGCAGTGCCTTGACGCCTTTCTCGCGTTTGGGCCATAAAACTTTTATAGTAAAAAGTAAATGCCACAAATGAGCAATCGAAAATTTCGCATTATAATGCAAACTGTGTGCATTTTTCGGGGTTATTGTAGTCGGCTTTCTGCTTGGTTCCTCCTTTTTTTGACGGGTGAGGGGGAAAAAGACAAACGCATACCATAGCCAAGGATGCAGGAGAACCAAGGCAGTCGTCATGGTCGCCAGGACTCGCTCTCCCTCCCTCTCGCCTCTATTAATAATAATAGAATTTTTGGAAATTTTGCAGCGAGACGAAGAGGAAAAAGGAAAAGGAAGCTGCCGCGATTTTTGCATTTGACAACGAAAACGAAATGAACGAGTTGTATGTGTTGTTGGCTGTTTTGTTTGTTGGGTCACCATTCCATCGGGCGGGGACATTGTGCATTGCATTATTCAGCGAGTCCTGTGCTGTAGTCCTGGCTGACAATAATGCTAATAATGATAATGATTATAATGCATGAAACAAAATATACCCGGAGATGCCTTGTCTTCTTTGTCTATCGAACCATCCGCAGGACCATAGACCGCGTCCTCCTCCTCTTCCTTCTCCTTTGTTGTTTGGCATCTAATGAACTCCTTTATGGCAGCTCCATTCGCATAGCTAATTCGGAGTGTCTATAGCATCCAGTCCGAGTCCAAGTCGTAGTCTGACTTCCCAGTCCCGGTCCCTCCTCCGAGTCCCCGTTTGAATGCAAATTCAAGTCGAATTTTGTTTCAAAAATTCCAGCAAATAATTTTAAGAAAACTTTGTTGACTTTTTATAATAAATTGTTGGAGAAATTGTTGAACTTGTTGTTGAACAAATTATTAAAGATATTGTTGAAGAAATTGTTGATAAAGTTGTTGAAAAACATAATTACAGATGTTGTTGATACAAATAATTGTAGTAATTTTTTAAATAACAAAACGAATTGGTAAACTTATATAGGTGTATATAAAAAAGATAAGAGGGAATAGCAATTTCTGATTACTTTTATAAAAGTGTCCAACATTTATTCATAATAATATTAATAATTATAAAAATATAAGTAATAAAATCATCTGCTATTTTTATGTTTTACTTTATGGTTGACTTTATGAACCGGATAATCCGTCCGTGCAAAATAAACCAATCATCCAACGTAATGCCTCCCCGAATCCTGAGATCCGCCAGGTGGATTACCTTTGCCTACCATCCTTGTCGTCGTCATCAGGCACGTCCGCTTCGGTACGCCCATTCGGTTATATTAAAACCATTTTTCGCTTATTACCAAAAAATTTAAATATTTTGAAAATAATAAACTGCGGGTGAGTTACTAAGTGGCAGCAGCAGCAACAGCAGCAGCGACGCCCACAAAAAAGCAAACAAGGCAAACAAGGGCTCCCTTCCCACTCCAGAAATGGGATTGGGATTGGGATGGCGGTGGTATCGTCGTCATCAGCATTTGGTATCATCAAAATGATGCCAAGCCCGTGCTGCTGGCCCACCTTTTGGCCCAAAACCCAGAGCCACGGCCATTACTAATCCTCCCCAGCCTCCTGTCCTTTGGAACGCAACCGTGTGCTATCAGCGCGCCTCGTGTTGATTGTCGCGCATTGCCGTCAATGCCCTCTCCTCTCCTCTCCCTCTCTCTCTCTTGCTTTTCCACCGCTTTCCACTCGTTTTCCTCTGAATTTCCCCCCCTTCATAACGCCATTCCTTTGCCCCTTTCGCAACCCACTTACTAATGAGCATCATGCGTTCGTAATAATGACAATGTTGGTCAGTGGCCCTTCTGGCCAAAAGTTTAGAGGGGGAAGCGGGTTTGAATTATCTTAATTGTTGAAGAAAAGTTTTTTAAATTTTAGGAGAAATTGTAAAAAAAAATTATTGTTAAAGAAATCGTATATAAGTGTTGAAAGATGTATTAAGAAAATATAACAATTGTTGAAGATGTTGTTGAATAAATTGTTGAAATTATTGTTGAAAACATTGTTGAATAAAATATTTAAAAATATTTTTAAAAAATGTATTTATAGAAAACATTGATGAAATAGTTAAGTAAAAACATAATAAATGGAATTTAAGTAAGCGTTGTAGAAAGTGTTGTAGAAAGTTTTGTAGAAAGTGTTGGAGTAGCCAGATATTAGAGAGTTAACAAAATCTTAAAATGACTTATTGGGATTCCTTTGTTTTTACATTCCAAAATCCCCTTTGAAAAAACCCCCCTTTTTCGCCGAAAAACCCCTTTAACTCCGCCCTTGTTAGAAATAATATTGCTGATGGCCATGCTGCTGCTACTTTCTGGCGGTGGTAGGTAGACGTCTTCCCATAGTGTCATATTTTTATGATTTTTATGCTAATTCATAACCAGCGACGACGGCGTCGCGGTTGCCAGTTCTCAAAGTCCTCGCCCAAAAACTCAAACTCAAGCCCATCCCCAGGACCATCCTCGCCCATCTCATCATCGCAGAGACTCCTTTTCGCCAAATGCTTTTTAATCCTTTTAATGAAAATTAGTTCCTCTCAATAACATTTAATATATTTTCCTTTGCTTTCGGAGACTCTATCTCCCGTTCCCGTTGTTTTCACAGGCATTATCATAATTTCTGTTTGCAACCCTAAATCAACACTCCGACTCCCGACTTTCAGCCAGACTCGATAAAGGGTTACTCCCCCCCCGCCGTTCGTTCGTTCGTTCAGTCCATTTCTCGGTGGTTCAGTGGTCCTTACTTTTACTGGTTTCACTGGTGGTACTAGGTAGTAGGTGTTCGGGCGGATGGCTGACTGGGTGGCTGGTTGTCTTCACTCACTCCGCTTTTTGACATATATCACAAGGTGATAACGAAGAACCCACCACCACCACCGCCACTAGCAGCACCCTTTGCCCCCCTGCCTCTCTGACCTTTTGATTTCCTATGCAGCGTTAAATGGCATCCGCAGCACATCGGTCCACGGGTCCATGGTCCACGTGGCTTTTCCGCGGCGCCGCTGGAAAATTGAAAACCCAAAAGGCAGTAAAAATTAATGGGCGTAGCGAAGGTGTGTGTTTTCACCATCATCTGGGCTAAAAAGGATTCTAGCCATCATCTCGGTGCCATCGATAATGTATGTACCAAGTGCTGCTAAAAGATTGGATTATCACTGCAATTATATTAAAATTTTATTTAATTTGATTTTAGAAAAGTAACTTAAAGGGGAACAAAGGGTAAAGAAATTTTGCAAAGGAATATTGTTGAAAATTGTTGTTGAAATGGGTAAAGAAGTTGCTTTAACAATTAAATAAATAAAGTAAATAAATGTGTCGATTATAAGTGTAAATTTAATGAAATTAAATTCAAAATTAAATATTCATTAAGTTGTTGTTGAAAAAGTACATATGTTTGTACCTTGTGGTGTAAAAACTGCCCCCAAGATATTGTTGAAAAAGTATGTATCCTGATTGGTGGAAAAAAAACTGGAAAACTATTCTCAACTATTCTCAACAACTATTAACTATTCTGTTGTTGAAACTATACATACCCTTATTGGTGTCAAAACCACTCCCAAGATATTTTAAATTCACAAAATATTACTTGCTCAAGACTTTAGAATTTAATTGGTTTTGTGTTGACATGAATTTGCTTTTCAGAATATGTGAACGAAATGAGTGCAGTTACTGGATCACCTCCGATTTGGCTCTGTATCCAAATCCATAACCCTTTCCCCATACGGGAATCGACGGAATCGTTATGAAACGAGCAAAAACTAGTCCTTTCCGAGTGTGTGAACATGTGAGCGCTATTACGACTGATCCTGCGTTGGCTTTGCGTTCCAGTGTTGATAATATTGATGCTGCTTTTGTTGCTGTTGCTGCGAGGGATGCTGCAGCTTCAATGTGTTTTGCTGCTGCTGCGGCTGCTGCTGCTGCTCCTCCCAGTCAATCTTATCGTTTGTATCGTTGCTCTTGGACGAACGTCGATAGGTTTTCACGGCCTCATCCCAGTCTCGGCCGAGGACTTCGCGTGTTACCTGGTCCGGGCTACGCATAAACTGCTTCTTCATAATGGTGGGCTCCGTCTGGCTAAAGTTGGGCCGATAGGCAAGCGGATCGTGGGGATTGAGCCACTTGGTATCTGCGTGATTACGATTGTGCCACATGTAATCCTCACGATTGATGCGACGCTCCAAGGAACCCTGGTTAACGCCACGTGTATAGTAGCTTGAATCGCGCATCACCATGGATGTGGCACTGGCGCGGGCTAGTGTCCCCTTGGTGGTTTCTGATTGATCAGATCGATCAGAGCCTGATCCCGCCGATAATGCACCCTCTGATCGATCACCACTCGAACCACCCCGAGATCCGCGTCCCCCGCTTTGGCTACTGCTCCAAGGATTGGAGGCCAAACAGCGTCGGATATCCCGCCAGTTGCTGGCCAGGCCGAGGAGCTGGCCGCGTACCATTTTTCCGACTAGAAAGGGTGACGAACGTTGCATGATTTCTGGGGGAAAATCGGGGGGAAAAATAGGTAATACCAAATGGTATTTCTGAAATGTTGGAATAATTTCGCGTATAACTTCTGGCTTACCGCTACAAATTATGTAAGTGTATTCTTATTCCTCAAAATATATAAAGCTTGTATAATTTAGAATTTTATTTCGTGTCTTTATTTTTGTACTTTTTTTTTTTCAACGAGAAAATTTTGTCTCTGATGTTAACGGTTGAAATTTTCAATGTGGAATGCAAATGAAACGGAAAGCTATTGAAAGGTTTAGAAGCAAACTAATACTAAAATCAAGGCCCGCTTTAACCAAACAGGTAAATGTGTGGCAATGAAATAAAACATAAATATTGCTTTGTTATTTGAGAAGTAGAACAAGTAAACATACATTTTATATTTATTTTTATTACAATCTGGAAAATCATTAAATTTTGCCAAGAAATTGTTGTAGAAATAGTTGGAGGAATAGTTGAAGAAATTGTTGAAGGAATTGTTAAAGAAATTGTTAAAGAAATTATTGAAGAAATTGTTATAGAAATTGTTGAAGAAATTGTTGAACAATTGTTGGAAAAACTGTTGAAGAAATCGTTGAAGGAATTGTTGAAGAAATTGTTGAAGAAATTGTTGAAGAAATTGTTAAAGGAATTGTTGTAAAAATTGTTGCTGAAAGACTTATAACTTGTACATAAATTTGTCATTTAAAATTTGTAATTTAAATCCCAAATTTCTTGCTTTATTTATTTAAATAATATTTTAAACCAAATTAAAGTTCTCTTAAATAATACGTCACATTTTTTTAAAAATCTTGCATTCTTGTTCAACTTTAACAAAACCTTTACAACAATGCTATACATTGAAGGCATCCGAACATATTTAAAAATATATGCACAAAACATTTATATATATATATGCTGGCATAATTATAGGGAGCAGGTCTTGAAGGATTTTGCAATTTTCTGGCAGCACATCCGCCTGCTGAAAATCCAGTACGGCCTGCCATTAACTGCCTGAGTCGGTACTTTCCAGCTTAAACGTTGACACTTGAACTCTTTTTGATTTCACCCATGTACGTGTGTGTGTGTGTGTGTGTGTATTTTGTGTGATTTTCCCTTCTTATTATTTCTCTCTCTCGTTTTTTTTTTTTTTTTGTATTCTCCTCCTGAAACACAATGGCACAATTATGTTAAATATCGACAAGTGGCCCTTCTTTTGTTGTGGGAAATATTAAACACTCGTCGTTCCAACAATCGAAATGCCCAGAAAGAGGTTGAGGTGAGAGCACCTGGACGGGCCAGAGGGGAGGGATTCAAGTGGGTGGAGTATACACATGGGAAAACTATCGCAAATAATTATTGATTTTTAAATATAAAATTTAAAAATATTCAAAATAACATTTAAAAGGTAGTCATGATTTTATTTTGTAAGAAATAAAAGGTGGTAAGCAAAACTTTGAATTAAATTTATCGATATAAAAATTAAATTAAAGTTAATTATTTTAAATTTATGTATCGATAATTAATCGATAATGTATAAACTATTTAACGCTTTAAAATACCTTTAGGGAAACTACCTTATTTGCTTATTTAATTAAATTTAATATATATATTTACTGTACACTCCCTATTTCTTGACCCATCGATATTTGCCCAACAATCTTCACTGGATATACATATATATACATATATAACTTAATTATGCAATCTAAATGCATTGAATCACCTCAACCAAAATGACAATAATCATAATGACAGTCGAGAAGAGCTCCACCGAAAAATGTTAACTCATTTGTTGTCCTTTTCTGCAGTTTCAGGCACAAACCGCACAGGCAGAAGGCAGGTGGAAATCCCTTCGTCCGTCCAACCTTCCTTATACCCATTATCCAAATTCCCCCATAACCATAAGAAAGAGAGAGGGAGAGAGGGAGGGTGGAGGGGTAGAGAAAGAAACGACAAATCTTTGCAATTTATTTACGTGCCATTTCGTAGCGAAGATTTTCGTTAGATTCTACCCATTCGCCTGGCGGAATTCCAAGACAACTTCAGTCTACCAGCAAGGACTCCTCCTCTTTCCTGGAGGCACAAGGAACAGGCACTACCTTCTTGGTTTTTTGGCGACAACAAAAGTCATGACGCGCTGATGACGTTGCCAGTGGAAGGATTTAATGGCACATTAAGAATTTTATTACCGCACAACAACAGCACCAAAAATACAACAAAAATAAGAAAAATAAGAAACACCAACGAAGAAGCCATCGTCGCACCTTGGCTTCAACAATTTTTCGCGAGTGTACACACAAAATTTTTGACAGGCATTATTCGCCCATGAAAATCTTTCGGTGTCAACAGAAAATTTTCATTTTCATTTTACTTTTTGATTTGATATATACTCTTTCCAAAAGGTATTATCATCTATGTTAATTATATATAATGTAAATCAAGAAAATATTATTAGAAAAAATTAAGCTAGAAATTGTTGTTGTTGAAAACATGATTGAAAAAATATTGTTGGTGAAATTATTTAACAAATTGTTGGAGAATTTAGTTTTGGTTTTTTATTAACCAACTTGGTTTAACAAGTTTAAAAGAATTATTGTATAAATTGTTGTTAGTAGAAATACTTAAAAAAGGTTGTTGAAAAATTGTTGAAAAATGTTAGAAAAAAATGTATGAAGTAGTTGTTGAGATAATTAATCTAAAAAATTACCAAATCATAGTTAACATTTTTAGTTTTGTAAAGGTAATTTCCCAGCAAAAGGGTATTCATAGCATTAAGGCTGTTCCTTTACTTTTGCTTGGATTTTTGGTCCTTGTCAGCAAAGGGTAGAGAAAGAGGAAGTTGGCTTTTGGTAGTAAGGGAGTCACATCTTTGCTTCTTTATCCCCAAAAATTTCCAGCGTCTCGCTGGCTAAGACGATTGTCATTATTACAAGTTTTGCATAAATGAATGAATGAATGACATTTATGTATTTCATTTAGACAGAGCCAGAGGACTTGGCTTAAGGACACGCCAGAGGTGGATGGGCGAGGATGGCCATTTGATGGGAGACTTTTTCAAAAATCTTTATGTCCTTTGTTTGATCAACTTTCGCACGGCACGGAGGGAGGTAGGTAGGTAGGGAGGTTGGGTGAGGAGTAAGCAGGTAAATTCGCCGTGCCATTAACCCATTATGTGTCAGCGAAAATTTCAATCCAACCGCAATTTCATCTTGACATTTGTGCATAATTGAATTAATTCTGAAATGGAATTCAGACATTCAGAGATAGGGGGGTCTGAGAAATAGCTGAAAGAGCTCTTTAAAATTGGGATTTCGGATAAACATAAAGATGGTATTAATTAAAAAAGCTTAAAATTTGATTCAAGAAGGAAAATTAGTCCTAAGAGTGACAGTATATCAGAAATGCCGTATTTATTGGTATAACATTAAAATGTTATATGAAAGTGTTGCATAAAAGTGTAAATTTAAATAAAAGTGTTATATTAAAATATTATATTAAAGTGTTATATAATAGTTTTATATAAAAGTGTTATATGAAAGTGTTATATAAACGCGTTATATTAAATGGTTATATAACAGTTTTATATTAAAGTGTTATATTAAAATGTTTTTTAAAAGTGTTATATAAAATTGTTACATTTTGCCTCCAACCAAGCAATTTGAAAGGATATAAAAAAGAACTGCTCCTCGAATAGCAGCTGCCACGTGGTTTATCCCCTATATCCCCCAACCAAATTAAGGTCGATCCGTGGCAAGAACGTCTGGAATGGAATGTGCGGCATTATAGAAGCTACATTTTTTTTCTCTGTCCTTTCCTGTTATTTATATGCAATTTAGCCATCTTCTTCTGCCTTTTCTTCGGCATTTGTTTGTGCAACCCTTTCGGCCTTAATTTGAATGCATTTAAAAATGTTAAAATATGACAATACCACCAGGCCGGGTTGGGGGGGGTTTAGGAAAAAAAAAAAGGCTTACCGAATTTATCTGCAGAGACACGCACTTTAGTTCGGCGAAGGCGGCCTCGGTACACAAAAGATTTGTACGTGTTCCCACTTGATGAGGCCTGGGCCTCGCCCCCACAGGACCCCCGCCTCTGGCAAATACTACGCGCAAAAATTCCTTCAAAAAAAAAAAAGAAGGACACACACACAGCGTTGAAAGAAGAGTTAGAAAAGGATAAGGGATACAGTGAGAAAAATATACAACAAAATTATAATCTGTTTAAATATAGATAACAATTTTCGAATAAGTTTCGATAATATCGATATTTTTTTTATTAAATAAAATATTTTCTAAAATTCTTTTAGTGCATTTAAAGTAGTTATTTATTTATTTTAATTAATATATTAATTTATTTAATTATTTAATTTGTTTTATATCATTACTTTTTGTATTTAAACTCCAAAAAATGAATGGAAAGTTTTAAAATCATTTAAAATGTGTCTAAAAATATGCTACTAAATGTTGCCTTTATTTTATTGCATATTTTTAGACACCTTCTTTGGTATTTTGTTCTTAGTGCATCAAAATAGGCAGTATAATAAAAAAGAAATGAAGTACATGGTGGGTTTGGTGGGTGGCGCATTACAAGCCTCCGCCTCCTCCTTCCCCCTTGGCAGTGGCTCACGTTACGCCGCCGAAAAAGAGATAATTTTATTTCATTAATCCTTTTTTGGGACAAATTCTCTGTTCGTTCGTTTTGTTTGTAGCCCTTGTTCTTTTTTCACTCTCCTTTTTTTACCCATCTTGCCTCTGTTTTTTCTTGTATTTCCCTCTCCCTATTCCGGCTCGGATATTCTGGGGCGTGGCTCGAACGTAATATTAGCTTAAAATTGTGTAAATAAAAATTACATTCGTAAGAAGGTTCTCGGACAGAGTCCGGGCCAGCTGCTCCCCAAAAACAAAAAAAAAAGAACAGATCCCTGTTTCCCTCCTTTTTTTTCTTGGGATTTTATTCCGAGTTGGGGGTCACATGAATCAGTGACCGCAAGTTCTGTGTTACATCCGCTGGATCTGTCTGAATAATGCTTTGGTTTTTCGCCCTGTCGTCGCCATTTTGGGGTACAGTCATCATGTCCTGTTCGCGTTTGCTCTGGAGGCAACTGTACTTTGATTGGGTTAAGGCTTTGACGTCAAAGAGATCAATAGGATCCACAGTTAGATCATATTGAAATTCTTAAGCAGATTTATGGGAGATTTATTGTGTATTTTTGGTGGGTTTATTGGGGAATTTTTTAAAGATTTTACTGTGAGTTTATTGGATAAATTATAAAAGAATAATTGAAAATTTCTAAGAGCTTTATTTTGAGTCCA